GTGTATGGACTCAGCAGAGTGTGCATGTGTGTGTGTGTGTGTGTGTGTATGGACTCAGCAGAGTGTGCATGTATGGACTCAGCAGAGTGTGTGTGTGTGTACGGACTCAGCAGAGTCTGTGTGTGTGTGTACGGACTCAGCAGTCTCTGTGTGTGTACGGACTCAGCAGTCTCTCTGTGTGTGTGTGTGTGTGTGTGTGTGTGTATACGGACTCCGCAGTCTATCAATAATTTAAATTCCTGTGAGTTGTTGTGTAGGAAGGGCCCCAGTGCATTGCTTTGCCCAGGGGCCCTTAACTCTGTTAAAATGGTACTGCTTGTGTGTGTCAGTGAGCTTCTATTCAGTGAGCTTCTATTCAGTGAGCTTCTATTCAGTGAGCTTCTATTCAGTGAGCTTCTATTCAGTGAGCTTCTATTCAGTGAGCTTGTCTTTAGTGAGCTTGTGTGTATGTCCCTGAACTTCTTTGTAGTGAGCCTTCTGTTTATACAAGTGAGTGTCTATAGTAAGCTTGTGTGTGAGTCAGAGAGTTTTGTCTGTCAGTAAGCCTATTTGCGCATGTCAGTGAGCTTGTGTGCTTACTGTACTATATATATATATGTACTATATATAAAAAACGTATGCCATTCCCACAAGTCATATATATATATATATATATATATATATATATATATATATATATATATATATATATATATATATATATATATATATATATATATATATAATCCAAAATACTGTTGTATCCTTGCACACACACTCCAATGATATTATGCCTGGTGCTGTCAAGCCAAATGCCAAAAATATACAAAAATATAAGGTACAGGAGGCAAGCACTCACGGTCTTTTCTGGTCTCTTTAAAAGGTTGTTCTTTATTTCATAGGTTAAAACTTGATTTGATCAACGTTTCAGCCAAACTTCATGGCTTTCATCAGGATCTTATATATATAGACTTGTAGGAATGGCATACGTTTTTTTTCCAGGGCTGCTTTGGATTCACAGTTTGGCTCTGCCAGCGAGTGCACTTTACCGCTGAATAATCTGTGTGAGCTGCCGCACACTTTAGCCCTGTTACACGCGTCTGGGAGCTGCTGTTGACAGGTACTAGTAGTCTAGAGATTGGGGTATATGCTCAGCTATCTGTATAATACAGATCTGTGTGTATAAAATATCCCGGGATAGTCAGTGCTTCCTGTATAGTGCTGCTCTCTGTCTTGGGATATTATACACAAACAGACCTGTATTATACAGAGAGCAGCACTATACAGGGAGCACTGAGTGTCCCAATTTATTATACACACAACCCTGTATTATACAGAGAGCACTGACTGTCCAGGGATATTATACCCAGACAGTAATTGATAGCTGTGCTGCAAAATGTCCTTGGAAATTTTTTTTCAAATGTTGGCAACTATGGCACTGTATCAAGGATAATGTGTTTGTTTTTTTAATAATCCCTGGTGGAAAATAATGAATCCTCCACCAGGTATTATTAAAAAACAAAATACATTGTGTCGGGGGCATGGCTTAACATGCGACAGGGGCGGGGTCAAATTGCGACGAGGGCAGGGTTAAATATGCCCCCCTACTTTTGTCACTGGCCCTTCATGTGCCCCCCCGAAAAATGAATCCTAGAGACGCCACTGCTATCAGCGGCAGAATCCTCTCCCTACACTAATAAGACCGCATGTGCGTGCAGCGCTACGCAACTCCGGCTTATATATAGAGGCTGGGTCACATGCTGCACTGGCCAATCACAGCCATGCCATTAGTAGGAATGGCTGTGATGGCTTCTAAGGGCACACGAGTCAAACGCTTGTTGATTGGCTGCCCTGCAGCCTTTCAAAACGCGCCATTAAATCGCCGAACACCGAACTCCAACCCGAACATACAGTGATATGTCCAGTGATATGTTTGGGTCCAGGGTCCAAAAAACCTAATGTTCGGTACGAACCCAAACTTTTCAGTTCGGGTTCGCTCAACTCTACTTAGCATCTCCTATGTAAGCCAGGTTTTTATGGTCAGTAATGATCAAAAGCGGGTCCTTGGAACCCTCCAAAAGATGTCACCACTCCTTGAGAGGTAGTATAATGGCCAACAATTCACTATTGCCAATATCTTAATTGCGCTCAACAGGGGACAACTTCTTAGAGAAGTAGCCACAAGGATGCAAAGGGGTTTCTTGGGAGAGAATAGCTCCCACTCCTGTCTTGGATGCATCAACCTCCAGTATGAAAGGTTTGTATCGGGATGTATCAATATGTCGGCGGAGGCAAACCTTTGAGAATTTCAAAAGCTTCTTTAGCCTCCGTAGACCATATCGTACTGCTAGCCGCCTTGCGTGTCATATTGATGAATCTTCTGTAATAATTGGAAAAACCAATGAACCTCTGAATGACCTTTAAACCATTAGGCAATGGCCACTGTAGAACAGACTCTAGTTTTTGAGGATCCATCTGAAACCCCAAGGCAGAAATCTTATATCCCAAAAACTGTACTTCTGACTGATCAAAGATGCATTTTTCCAATTTACAATAAAGTTGATTTTTCAACAAAGTTTGCAAAATTTGTTTAACATGATTGTGGTGAGTTTGAAGGTCAGGGGAATAAATAAGGATGTCATCCAGATAGACTAAGACAAACGAGTAAATATAATCCCTGAGTACGTCATTAATAAAATCCTGGAAAACAGCTGGAGCGTTGCACAACCTGAATGGCATCACCAAATATTCATAGTGTCCACTTCTGGTATTAAATGCAGTTTTCCATTCATTGTTTTCCTTAATTCTCACTAAATTGTAAACACTTCTAAGATCAAGCTTAGTAAATATTTTAGCGCCTTGGAGTCTGTCAAATAACTCAACAAATAGGTTGAATTGGGTAGGCGTTCTTAACTGTAATTTTGTTCAATGCCCTGTAATCGATACATGGACGTAACTCACCATCCTTTTTAGCTACAAAAAAAGAATCCTGCACCAGCAGCCGAGGAGGATTTGCATATATGGCCTTTATTCAAGGAGTCCTTAATATATTCCTCCATTATTCTACTCTCCTGTGGGGACAAAGCA